AGGGTTTAATGATTTTCCAAAGAAAACTTTCAAAGAAAGATGGGGAAAAACTCTGTTGAGGCTTGGATTTTAAAAGAAAAGGTTATTACACTCAAGCAAATCTCTGGTTTGTAGAATTTCTGCGATTTCTTGCCAATTCCCTGCAACTTTCTTACTCTTAGTAATTGTAATCATGGTCCAGTAGTTTGGAACTTCACTTCTGAAAGGCTGATATAACTTAGAGCAGTTCATATATAAATCTCAAAAGGAAGAAGGGATTCTGGTGATGGTGATAATAGCAGTTAAAATAACAACATTAATGGCAGCTACACTTATGAGTACTTTGTGCCAGGAGCTCTTCTAAACACTTGGCATATATTAGTGGTCTTTTAAATTAACCTATTAAACAAATACCATTTTTGAAGAATGGACATGTAAGAAATTGGGAAATTGTTGAAATTTGGAAAAACATTTTGTAATACAACAGTTTAGATGGATACAATGCCCCAAAGACTGGATTTTGAGTACTGAGTTTGTCTCCTAGGTTTATGTTGATTTTGAGCTAGATTACTCAAGATAGTTATTTTCTTCATTATTAAAATAAGGATATCATGAGAATCCATAATAATGTTTAAAAATATATGAAATGTCAGCTGGGGTTTATTAATTAGATAACTTCATTTTTTTAAAAGAAAGAAACAACTTAGAATGTGTCAACACTACAGTCTTCTCTTTTTACACTAACTTTTACTGGTAATCAGATCAAAGAGTCCATGATGTGAGCTTGCAGGGGTGTGTGACTCCAAAACTGTTTGTTTTCAATTAATATAGTAGTAGATGATTATAACTGCTTGACATTTCATGTGTTTTTCACATTAAAATTTGGAAGCCCTTTGGAGTTTTGAAAAGCAATTTTGTTTTTGATTAGGTTCTTGAGGTAGAATAATTCCATTTGGGGGAACTACTATGTACTATTAGGTATCTGACAGATAATGCCCAGTACTGCATATGCCATTAGAAAACTGTGATGTGTAATTATATTCTTTCCCGAGAGATAACAGTAATTTCATCAGACCCACGACATCGTCACCTGGTCTCCCTGCTCTGACATGTCTGGGGAGAGGTGTTTCATGGCTTATGATCCTGGCAGCTGAGAAGATCTGTGTTCATTTGGGGGTGGGGGTTGGGATTCAGTTTGAAGTGGGGACTGTTCTTTTTGCTGTGAAAACAGGACTGTCATTGATGGGGGTGCCCAACCACAGGCAGAAGCCTCCTTTGTGGAGGTCATTGTAGCCTGTGGTGGGGAGAGGTCACTGAGTCTTGGACGGTGAGGCAGGCAAGAGTGTGTGGGTTCCCCTGGGAGTTGAAAGGAGTAGCCCTAGTGTGTGAAGGGTGCCCACTCCAGGGCTGTTCTCCACTGTGTCCCCCTTTGTGAACATCTTTTCCAGTTGTGATTTGAGTATGTGTCTATAACAAATGCCTTGCTGTCAAAAACAGAAACAAAAAACTTGTATTTAATGGCTTTTTTTCTGAAATATTCTTGATAGAATAAGCTGAAAAATAATAATAATTATTATTACCAGTAACTTACTATGTGCCAGGCACTGAGCTGGGCACTTTACAGGCAGCATTTTTGTATATCTATACTAATTAGCAAAATTACTTCTCAAGAAAGGTAATAAAAGACTTTTGTAATATTCTTAAAAACCTGATTTAGAAAGTTTTGCTTTGCATATCTTGTTATGAAGGGTATCAGACAGAAATCTCAAACAGAATATTTATCAATTTACCGCAGTTGTCAATTTTGCTATTTGTGAGATTAAAAATATCCGATGTGTAATGTCTTATTTTTGCTATTTATAGATTTTAAAGAGTTTCGTTGTTCTTTTGTCTTTAATTTTCCTTCTCCTGTTTTAGTCTAAGTTTGTATTTCCATTTTTTTAAATGTAAATGGATGTGTTGGTAATCCTGATAACTCTAATTTTAAAATGATTCCATTTTATTTGAGCCACTTTTTCATCTTGTGATTAAGGTTCTTGTATTATTTTTTAGATTTAAAAATCTTATATAATTTTATTTGTTGCAAATTGGTAGTGTTTAAAATCGTTTTTTAATATCCTAGAGCTGTTTATGTTTACCTGGTTATGAACTTGAATTGAATAGTTCTTTAATCCGTGCTTATTTTTTATTGATTTTTTTTCAGGAAGTTATGACCATTTTAAATGACCAGTATTTCTGCTCTTCTTCCTTTAATCAGTTTGCTGATTTTAAAAAAGTATTCTGTCAAGCTTTTACAGTTAAATTGTACAAAGAGCATTCTGTAGAATGGTAGTGCTAGGCATTTTCTGAATTGACCTTCAATTGTTACTCTTAATATACTGTATAAGTAAGAGGAGCCATCAGCATTTACTTTTAGTTCTTTTGCAGGAATGAATAAACATCTTGAAATGCTGATTTGGACGATGTTTTAAAAATGCTAAGATGCACTTTAGTGTATGACTGACTCTTGCTTAGTTAAATGTTTTGCAGCATTATAACATAGTTGGATTCAGCTCATCCTTTAAAGCAGTTGTCAGAAAAATATGGGCCAGCATGGTAGAATGTATTAGCTCAATACATTGTCTCCATTTTATTATGAAGCTGCTGAGGAAGCTGTGATATACAGCACTGTCATTACAGATCTATTGTTAGGACGGTTCCACAGTCTTCTTTGTACTGCCATTAATTTATAGCAGTAAACAATATGTAGCCTTCCAACTGCAGCAAAGCAGAATCTTTTAATGAGGTGGATGTTATTACCACAATAAATCAGTGCTTTCGCGTAATGTATAATTCAATGTGTGTATTCCCACTGTAACTTCTCTGAGTAAGCTGATAGTGTATCATTGTCATTGCACAGCTCCACTGGTCTTTTTTTTTTTAAACCTTCTTTTATTTGGGGACTTCTTTTTTATATGCTTGCAAATAAATGTGGTATGTCTTGATAGCTGTCTTGTAGCAGGCTTCAGAAACCAACTGTAACAATAACAGTCAGAATCAATCCTGTGGGCTCTACCTATATGGGTCTCCACACGGTGCCATTTTTCTCAGACGCTAGTGAAATCAATCCTAATTGGTTTTAGCATTATATTCAAGAAACATGATTCTATAACTATTGATTTTGGGGGTGTACTCATTTGGAGAGTAATAAAAATGGGAGCAGATAAAGTGAATACTTAATATGCTGCAGAACCATACAAAAAGACCATTGATTTTATTTTTAATTCACATAATTTGTCTTCCAATGATTTTATTTCTTCTTTCCTTTTGCATGGCTCAGTCTTTAGGGACAACAACTAAAATACATTCAAAGGCATTCCAAATTGGTTCTGTAACAAAGATTTCTTGGAGTCAGTTCCATTCTTAACAGGCATATATTTGGTAAATCATAATTTTTTTTTTTGTACAGAAACTAATGCTTTAAAAGATGGCATTTTAAATTGGTATACTGTGATACTGATTTAAAATAATAAACAACTAAAGATTTTTTTAAATTTGCTTGTAAAGTAAAAAAAATGGCTTAAAATAAAATGTTGATTAGGACTACTACATTAAAAGGGAATGAATTGTTCTAGAGATATATAGCAGTTTTGAAATAATAGTTAACAATTTAAGAAAAATAGCCAAAATGATCATTTAAAATGTTTTAAATTACATGAAAAGCAGTTTAAAAACTACCTTAACATTGCTTCACTTTCAATAAAATATATCTGAACACATCTATTTTAAAACCAGTATTTTAAATTTCAGTTTCATAATTTTCCCGTAAGTGATCAGATATTTTCTTTCTCATATAAATGAGGAGTGACTACTCACAGGTTTTATTAAAGAAAGTCATCTTATAGAGATCTTTTTTCAGTGATTGGTACTTATATTTTCAATAAAGAATAGAGATTTTTCTAGAGACTGGAATATTTTATAAGAATGAATTGTTACTTAAAGCAGTTGAGCTTAACATCCTTTGAGCCCTTAGACCCCGCTGAAAATCTTAGAATACTCTGTATGTCTTCCTGAAGAAAATGCACATGTGCATAATCACACAACATTTTACCTACTGTTTGAGGGAGTCTGTGTATTCCCCGAATAACAACAGCAGCAGCAACAATAGTGATACCAGCTAACATTTACTAAGCTCTTATCTTATGTCAGCGTTCTGAAGCTTGTAGGTTATGATTTTATTCAAACTTAGCACAATGCTAAAAGATAACCTTAAGATTAATAGTGTTCATTGAATCAGGCATGGTTGGTTCTTCCATGTACTTACTCATTTTATTTCCCAAAACAACCTTCTGACTCGGTACTGTTATGACTCAGGGACCCCAGGCGCTTCACAGTTTGCTGTATCGCTTTGGGGGCCTCTGCTGTAATGTATTGTTTGGCGCTATAAGCTCTTAATCTGTCTGGTATTCTTTTTATATTACACTTTTTTTTTTTTACATTTCATGCATGCATGTTTTTATCCTCTAAATTCTTTGGATTTACTGATAATGGTAGAAATTTCTAGATTTACATGTAATCCCTTTGTCACACAGTCTCCTCCTTGTACTCCTCCTCCCGCCCCCTGCCCCTCAGTTTTGTTCCATCCTCTTCTCAGAATCTATTGTAAGTTATTCTTCTAGCATCAAAATTCTATTTCTGGTGGTTGCTTCTAATGAACTAAAAAGATTTTATGGGTGCTTTCCAGAATATCCTATAGCTAATATTCACTTCATGTAATTGTCTTTATGAAAATGCTTGTTATGGCCTGATTAAAGACCTTTATCAATAGAAACTAGACTTCCTGAGAAATGACAGATTTCTCCATTCACTTATATGTGTATATTTAATGTGCATTGAAAAATAAATTTTTTTTCGATCTACTAACTGTAACACTGTTTTAATTCACTTTCACACTTGCTAACAGGATAACATTTGAAGAGAGAAAGAGATAAACAATGATTACATATATATGTTCTTTTCTTTTTTCCCCTCCTCATTGGCAGCCAATAGGAGCTTTGAATCCAAAAAGAGCAGCATTCTTTGCAGAGCGTTATGAATCCTGGGAAGATGATCAAGTTCCAAAGTTCCACTATGGTACTCATTACTCAACTGCAAGTTTTGTTCTTGCATGGCTGCTAAGAATAGTAAGTTCAATTTGAATAATAAGCCATGAATAAGTAAATCCAATGTTATGGAGAATATGCATTGATTAAAAATCATCAGCATCTTTTTTGAAGGGTGAAATATTTTTCAATGATTGAGGTTCTAATTATAAATATTGCTTTATCCCATTTAGTATGTATTTTGTAACATGTTCCTCTAGAATAGCCATAAAACTGTTCCACATGGAATTGTGGGAATTTTTTTCTTCAATTGGACTCTTCAAATGGTTGACTCTAAATAGTAACATATATTATTTTCAAATGTAGTCTATTAAAATAAGAACTAAGTAAGATTCCATTAATGCAAACATATATTCATATATTTTGGAAACCAGCTGCCCCAAATGAAGTAAGGTATGTTTGTAGGTGACACCAAGATTGCCGTGTATTGATAACATATTGGTTAAACAAGAAACGTTTCTGTAAAATTGAGAGGTGATTCATCTACTAGAAAGTAATTTCTTTGGGAAAGCATTAGCAGCACATCATTAATTAAAGCTTGTTAGAAGGGTACAGGCAGACATAAATCCTAGAAGTAATTTATAGTGCTTAGCTAATTTCAAGCAATTATCTACTAATACGTGTTTAAGTGTTCTTTAACTAAGAGGAGGCTTTTAAATCTTCCAAACATTTTTCTTTTCTTAATCATAAATTAAATATTGAGCCGTAACAATAGGAAAATTACATGTTGGACTGTTTCCCTGTACTATGAAGAAAATGCTGTCCAATTTATGTCTGAATGTTATTAATAAATTGTTCTTGGAAAGAAAGAGAGTCTGAAAAATGTTGTAGATACCAAATTTTGGAAATATTTCTTCTGAAACAAAAATAATTTAAGAACATTAATGTAATAATTTAGGTATCATTCCCAGTCTATGCCTAGAATGTAATGCAGGCCGATGCCTATTAGTCATTAAAGTATTTAGATATGAAGATTTTTTAAACCACATTTTTATGTATGAGAGAACATATGATCTTTTTAATTGCTTATTTTTTAGGAACCTTTCACAACTTATTTCCTAAATTTGCAAGGAGGGAAATTTGACCATGCAGATCGAACTTTTTCATCAATTTCTAGAGCTTGGCGAAACAGTCAGCGTGATACATCTGATATTAAGGTACAAACTGTTCCATTTTACAATTGTTATTGCCAGTGTATTTCTTCTTGAATCAATGTTAACAGTTTCCCTTTTGCAAAACATCCCTATTTACTAAAGATAAGCCACAAAGCATGAGGCCTTAATTAAATGACCAAGAACCACTATACAGTGTTTCTCTTTCTTTCTCTCTCTCTTCTGTGTCTGTCTCTGTCTGTCTGTCTATCTTCCCTCTCTATCCTTGCCCTGCCTTCTCTCTCTCTCCAGTTGCAGAATGGTTGTTTTCCCTCCTTCTTGAAATCTTTTTTTTTTAAAGCAAAAATATAGTAGTATGGATGTAAGGCATTGTGCTCAATGGAATTTCAAACTCAATGGATAAAATTAATATAGACAAAAATAATGAGAGAAAAATTTCAGACTTTCAACTTAATTTAACATTTCTTTTTTTTTGAGGTATAGTCAGTTTACAATGTTGTGTCAATTTCTGGTGTACAGCACAATGCTTCAGTCATCCATGAATATACATATATTCATTTTCATGTTCTTTTTCACTATAAGTTACTACACGATATTGAATATAGTTCCCTGTGCTATACAGTATAAACTTGTTTATCCATTTTATATATATTAGTCAGTATCTACAAATCTCAAACTCCCAGTTTATCCCTTCCCACCCTCTTCCCCCTGGTAACCATAAGTTTGTTTTCTGTCTGTGAGTCTGTTGCTGTTTTGTAAATAAGTTAATTTGTCTTTTTTTAGATACCACATATAAGTGATATCATATGGTATTTGTCTTTCTCTTTCTGGCTTACTTCACTTAGAATGCCCATTTCTCTATTCGTAAGACAATCATCTTTTACCTGTTGCTGATTCTAATTGAATATCTGTCTCTGCTCGGTATAGAATTGCGTTACTATTTCATGATATATGTAAGTCAAATCGTTAGGCTGTATACCCTAAACTTATACAGTGCTCTTTGTCCATTATATCTCAAAAAGACTGGAAGAAAAAAGAAAAAATTGCATTACTATTGATGAACGAGTTCTCTCTCTTTGGGTGTTCAGTACTGTAAAGTTCAAAAACTTTGCACAGTAGCTAATATAATCGTTACTAAACTTTTACTTCCACCCTCAGAAGTACAGTTTACATGCTGTTGTGTATAACAAGATATGCCTATGATTGTGAAGTTCTTTATGGTCTCATAAAGAAATATGACCTATTAAATCAACTATGCTTCAGTAAAAAAGAAATATGACTTGTAAATAATTATACTATAAGGGAGAAAATGATAAGTACCATATGAGAAATATTAGGGCTCAAAAAAGGGAAAGCTACATTACTAATGTTTATGTTATTATACAATACTTTTCAAAAACTTGATATAATGATATTTGTATGTTACTTCTAGGGTTTATACTTTACAGTCTATTAAAAAAAGCTTATTTCTATGAAATAAAAGTTAAAATATGAATTGTTTTTATTTCAGAGAAGAAAGATGTTACTAGATTTTAGCAAAATGGTCTTTTATTTTTAGCATGATTTACCATTTAAAAATTGGGGGGGATCATTTTTATTTCCATGCACCATTGGTGGTTCCGTTTCAGATATGACCCTCAGTGATGCTTTTTATTCTGTCTGGATAAACACTTCAGAAGTGCTGATCACTTCTCCAAGTACGCTTACCATACTGTTCAATAGAAATGTAAATGTAAACCATAATTCTGAGCCACATGGGTAATGTTCACTTTCCTTGTAGTCACATTTTTAAAACTCAGAAGGACCATTTGAAATTTATTTTAAGAATATATTTAACCTGATGTATCCAAAATATTTCTATTTCAACATGTAGTCAATATAAAATTATTCATTAGATATTTTATGTTTTTCTTGCACTAAGTCTTTGAGATCTGGTGTATATTTTATATTTATCACACATCTCATCTCAAACTAGCCACATTTCAAGTGTTTACTAGCCACTTCTGGCTAATGGCTTCTGTACTGGGCAGTGCAGACTGAGGGCATTGTTTTGGCATCAAAGGATAGCTTTCTGCTTATGGAGAGGAAAATGCCTTCATCCCCTCTGAGCAGCGGTGTTCCTGATGTTGCACTGCATCTCAATACGAACTGACAGGTAGTAGCAATAGTAGGTAGTCTTGAGGACTGAAATAGAACATGTTAAAATTGGGTTAGAGAATCATCACTGTGATAAATAATATTTTAAAATTCCCCAGCAGAGTCTGTGTTTAAGTCTTAAAAAAAATCACTTAAGTTTAGAGACTGAGGCACAAAATAGATTACTGTCTTCAGCCTGAACCATTATAACAGAATTTTGTGGAACAAATCAGACTCATAAAGCTTGAATGAATTTCACGAGGTGATCATATCTAAATATTAGGCAAATATCTAAGCTTTTCTAGGCAATCCATTGTCACTGATTTCCCACCCCTCTTTTGAGGCAGCATGCTCATTTCATATACCCTTAGTGTCAATTAATTTAATCTCATGATTAAGTACAGTCTGATTTGCTGCAGTTTAAACTCTTTCTTCTCTCCTATAGAAGTGATTAACAAATCAGGATTGGAGGGTGGAAGGAGTCATAAATGTCACCTAGGTTCATTATTTTTAGAATGGGGGCAGTCGTAAATGGATCTAAAATGGAGATTATTAGAGAAACATACTTCTCTGGAAGCTCAGAATTTAGAACAAAGATGTATTTTAAAGTAATTTGTGCTAAAAGTAAACTTAGAATAAAAAGTTTGGCAGGTTTCCAAGATAGCATGTAATTTTTACATTTTTTATTTTAATTGAGTCTCTGCACAGTCAGGCAGTGATTGTGGTACAGCACCAGACGAGACAGAGTGTTGCCTTCAGTGGACTTTCGCACTAGGGGAGATACTGACAGTAAAATCATCCCAGCACTTCCATCTAATAAAGCCTCTGTGGCTCGCAGATACAGGATGGAAATGAGAAGAAGGAAGAGAAGAGAGGAGATCCAGGGCCTGTGAGGAGGTGGCTTATGAGCTTTGAGAAGAAGGGTGGACTTTATCCTGGGGCACTAGGGAGACATTGGAAAAGTCGAAGCAGAGGAGATTTTGTGGTTTTAAGTGCTCCCTGTGGTTGGTGTTTGAATACGTTTTACACTGCGAGCAAGAATGGAAGCAATCAGTAAGCTGTTCAGGTAAATAAATAGGTGAGAGACAGTGGAGGCTTAGACTTGGTAGGGGCACTAGTACTAGAGAAATGTGGATGAGTTTAAGACTTATTTAGAAGGTAAGCACTGTTAGGATTTGGTGATCAGTTTGTCTTATAAGGTGAAAGAGAAATTACTTTTGACTTGGACATGTATGTACAGAACAAGGAAGAAGAGCAAATTTAGTTGGAGCATAGGGATCTCTGCAGAAAACTTCCTGTGACAGGTGAGTTAAACCCCCCAAAGCACGTTCAGTTAAGCCAGCCAGCATTTATTGATTATTTTATCATATGTAGTATATGGTACAGAGCACTTGGGGTTAAAAGGCTGAAATAAACACAGTTCTTTACACATTTCCAGGTGAGAATGACGGGTATACATAAAACTATTTTTAATACATGTTAGACAGTGACAAGTGCTATAATAAGATATAAACAAAATGAAATTAATTCTGTCTGGAAGAAGTGGAGTTGCAAATACTTCACAGAGTAAGTGGTTTTTGAGTAGGATCTTAAACGCTGCAAAGGAATTTAAACCTTTCCGATCTACTTCTCTAGCATGTCCGTTTCTCCTGCTGACTCCTTCCTCATCATCTCTATTTGAATATATGAAACATCTCAAGTTGAACATGTTCAAACCTAAATTCCTGATCTTTATTGCTTCAAAGCTGCTCTTTTCCCAGTCTTTCCTTCGTAGTAAAGGGTTTCCCGGTTGAGGGTAAAAGCTTAAGTCCTTACAGTGCAAGACCCCACAGCGATGACCCCTCCCCTTCAAAATCCCGTTACCTCTTGACCTCTTGTACTGTTTGCCTCCTTGCTCATTCTGTTCTGGATAAACAGGACCGCCTTGGTGTTCCTCATATATTCCAGATACCTTCCCACCTTAGGGCCTTTCCTTTTCCTTTTCCCTGAGAAATTCCTACAGACACCCTTATGGATCCATTCCGTTGCCCATTTCAAGTCTTTGTTCAGATGTCACCTTCTTAGTAAGACCTTCTCTGTCCTTTCTCTTTAAAGTTACATCCCTCACCTCATGATTTTAACTCACTCCTCAATTTCATTTTTCTTCACGTCACTCACCATCTGACATACACGTCTTTATTCATTTGTTTATTATTGATGTCTTATCCTGGGGAACATTAGCTCCATGAGAGCATGAATTTGGGATTGTTTTCTTCATTGATTTAATCCCTAGAGCTTAAAACAGGGTGTGGAATGTGGTAGGCATTAAATTAAATGTTTTTTAAATTAATGCTTTGATGAAATATAGAAGAGTATGCCTAGCACGCAAAATGACATGAGCAAAATTCAGAGAAAATGCTTGGCACATTGGGGAATGCTTCTTGGTCTACTAATTGGTCTTATGTGTTTGGTGTGTAGGAAACATAGGGAAGGAAAGACACTGAAAGGCAATTGTGATCTCGTATGAAGACCCTCAGTAATAGTCTAAAGATAAACTCTGTCTGCAGTCCTTTCAGTCTCTTATCACAGCTACTCAGTTCTATCACTGTAGCATGAAAGTGGCCACAGACAATATGTAGACAAATAAATGTGCCTGTGTTCCAGTAAAATTGCATTTACAAAAATGAGTGGCAGGCTTTTGGCCCATGGGCTTTATCTTCCTGTCTCCCACTCTAGGCAGTGAGGATCCATATAAGATGTTTTAGCAGGAGTTCCACTTATTGATTGACTCTGTTACAAAAAGAAAGAGTTTTGGCAGCAGTATGGAAAGTAGATCCAGGGAATGCGGAAAAGGACTGAGAGCTGGAGTTAGGGAGAAGTGGTAGGAGGCTATTACAGTTAGTTAAAAGTAAAGATGAAAAGAACTAGTT